GCAGCACGAGTTCAATCCCAGGCTGGCCAGGGAGCTACCCATATGGTACAGGAGTCCTCTCCTGACTCTTCTGCTGCTCTCCTCAGCAGTGTATTTCAGTCAGTCTGCCTGTTCTGTTCCCCACTCTGCCTCTGACGGATCCTCTCACCCCCCACATCTCTGGCCTGTAGCCCCAGCTCTTGTATGTATAAATAAATCTTTAAAAAAAATAAAGTATACAGGTTCTGAGGACAAGGATCTGAACATGTTTTTTGGGGGGCACCACCATTCAACCCCCTAATGCCCATATTACACCCAACAAATAGCAATATTGACTCATCTACTCTTCCCTGCTCTCATCACCAGAGGTGTAAGCTAAGGCTCAGGGTAAGTTATTTTTGTTTGGAGAATATTTGCAGCTATTGATGTAGTTGAAGGAAACTCAAAGAGTTTAAGGCTTTGGTAGAGGATATAACATGAAGAAGTAGGTGTGAAACTCAGGAATACATTTATGTTTTTATTAAGATACAAAAAAAATTTCAAGTGAGTTTTCAGAGTACACAGTGAAATGTGTAACCTCCCATCCTAAGACACTTGCTTTTTCTTTCAAAGTAATCACTATCAGTATTTTTTTCTATTTTTTATTCTTTCAGAAAGTTCTTATAATACCCCACATCTCCTTGCCAACAATTATTTAAATAAACAGGAGCATTTTCTATATCTTTATCATTTATCCTGGAGAATTATTTTTCCATACCAACATTTGTAAATGACTGTACATTTAATAATTTAATACATTAAATGATTAAATAATTGTCCCCTAAGATTGCTTTCAAATAGTTTTTTTTCAGCTAGGTAGAATGGTGAAAAGAAAGGGTGTAAATAGGAAGAATGGTGTGTGTGTGTGGTGTGTGTGTTGGGGTAGGCATGAGGTTATGGAAGATTCATTCCATTCTCATAGTAATAGGTCAAAGCAATGTGAAATAGAATTTCCTACTATTCAGAGCCCCAGATCCTGAAAATGTAATGATATTGTGCCTGAGTGTTATATGGGGAGGTGATCAGGGTATTTTATCCAGTGGTAACAAGATTTAAATTTCAAAAAGCAAAGATTTAAAAATTTTACTTCTATTTCATAGATGAGAAAATATCCAAAGTCCTCCTAAGGAACTGAAAGAATACAAAAGCCATCCCACCTCTGTTCAAACACCTTTGGTGACAGTGACTTCTTACTAAATAAGATAGCACCATCTGTCTCCTTGTCTGAAATGGAAACATTACTTCGAACATTCTGTAACTTTTTGTTCAAATGCTTAATGGAGCTGGCAGGACAAAGATCCTCTATGTGGACGCCTGTGAAAATACGTATTCTTCATAAAATGACATGTTTTACCCAGAAGGGCTGTACAGCATAGTGGCTCAGACTGACGGTGTTGGACCCTACTTGGTAAGTTATTGTACCCAGGCTCTGCCTCTCCCAGCTGTGTGGTATGTGAGTTTTTCCCACTTGTAAAGTGGGGTAATAGTACTTTCTGGAGTTATAAGGATTAAATGAATCAATATGTATCTAATATTTAGAATAATGTTTGCTAAACATGAGTATTCCGCAGTTGCTGATTATCATTATTCCTCACCTCATCCCCCTCCCTATTAAAAGATCTCCCAGCAAGAATAATAAATAGCATCTTAATTCTGCAGCTCAGGAATCCACAAACAATAGCCCATTAGTCAAATCTAGCCCACCATCAATTTTTTTTTTAAAGATTTATTTATTTATACAAGTACTGGGTACAGTCAGAAGCGCGGGAGGGTGAGAGAATTCACCAGAGCCAGAGCGGGGAGCAGAGCAGCAATTTTTATACAGCTTGTGAGGTGTGAAAGGTTTTTACATTAAATGGTTAGGGGGAAAGTTCATAGAAGAAAAATATTTTATGACACATGAAAATTCTATGAAATTCATATTTGTTTCCATAATAATTTTATTAGAACACAGCCATGCTCATTCATGTTATATATAAATGTTATTGTCCAACATCAGCAGTTACACAAGGACATAAAACTGCAGAACCGAAAATATTTGCTCTCCAAGTCTGCTGATTCCTGTTCTAGATAATGTCCTCTTCTGAGTCTGTTTCAAGTACTCTTACTTCACTCCAAGGTTCTCACTGCTGAGACCCTTGTGACTGACCTGAGGAAATTACCTACAAAGGACATTTTTTTCTATAACTTCCTCTTTAATATTGGGACTCTAGTGGGTGAAATGAAGGCAGTGCTATACCATTGACCTTAATGACCCAAAAAGAAAAAGGAAATAAGCAAGGAAAGTACCCACTTACAAGAGCAGAAAAAAAGAAATAGGTATTTTTATATGTAACTTCTGAGAAATACAGAATAATCTAAGTTTGGAGATTCATGCTTCAATTCTGTAATGGCTTTTTTACCCCTAAAGAACAGCACAGTAATTTTACTGTTTTTAAAAAATATGTAAAAATGTATTTTCACAAATAGATAAAATTAGTGCCATTCCAATGGGAGTTTGAATAGTTATCTACATTTAACATCATCTCCCCTTTTATGCAGCAAGATTTGTTCAGTTCTTGTAGAATAAACAGATTTATCTTAAGTCCTAAGCATTAAGTGATTCTTATGTGGACTGATATTTAAGAAAAATACATGTTATCAATGACATTTTCTGTTGCATCTGTGTTAAAACAGCCTTTCAGCCACACATCTCAGCAGCCCTCCTACCAACTTGTAGGTCAATGCTAAAACCTTTCTCCAGTGCAAAGGCTAAAGATCCATTTGGTTAATGGAAAAGGGTGCTGCCATTGAACTTACTCTGATCATAACTAAACCATTTTTTTAGAAATATATATATTTTAAGGTTTATTTATGCATAGAAGCACTGGGGTATTCGAGGATTCACCAGAGACAGAGTGGGGAGCAGAACACGCAGATTTACTAAAATACACCACTAAAGGGAGCAGCAGGGGAGACAAGAGAGGTCTGCTGAGCCATGTGGGTTAGCTCACTGGAATCAAACTCAGGAAGGGAAGAGACCTGGGAAGGAGACTGTCCCCGTTCCCTGGGGACACCGCATTCAATAGCAAATAAAAAACAGCATATTAGGGGGCGTCCCTGGTGGTGTAGGTGGTTAAGACTTAACCTATGAAGCCATCCGCAGCCACTGCAGCACAAGTTTGATCCCCGGCCAAAGAGCTATCCACATGGCACAGCAGACCTCTCCTGACTCACCCACTGCGCCCCTCAGCGGTATATTTCAGTAGATCTGCCTGTTCTGCTCCCCATCTGTCTCTAGTGAATCCTCTCACCCCCCACACCTCTGGCTTGTACCCCAGTTCTTGTATGCATAAATAAATAAATCTTTTAAAAAAACAGCATGTTAGGTTGGATTAGACAACACAGCAAAAAGGAAAACCTTTTATAATTTAGCATCTTCAGTGGCATTTTCTCCTCCTTCCACATATTTTCATTGCATTGAGTCACACATATTATACAGCTAGCCCTGCACTGGTGTGACCACCTACAATCAAGATACAGAACATTTCTATCACTCCCTAATTTTTCCTGTTCACGCTTTGCAGGGTCAATTCTCTCCCACCCCACCATGTCACCCCCCAACCATTGGTCTGCTTTTGAGGCAGGACTCTGGATCACCACTTAGGAACTCTGGAAAAGCAGGACTGGCACAGATGTGCCAGTAACGCTGTAGGGGTTCACCTGAGAGCACTGTAATGATCCAAACAAGCGTAAGCAGGGGGTGTGGGCCACTCCCACCCAGGTATTGAGAGGGACAGCAAAGGAGAAAGCGCAGGCAGAGAGAGGGGAAGAAGGTCTATGTGGGCTCAGAAAACACTACAAGTCAAAAGTATTCAGTTTATTTTGTTTAGGGAAAGCACACTATGAAAACCTGGTACATAAATACACTCCCCATTGGAAGCCAGATCATCGGTCCAAAGAAGACAGACAAAGCACCTTACTCAGGGTTGCAGAGCCTTTCAAGACTCCACCCCTGCTTCCCAAACCAGTCGCCTCCCTTTGGCCTAGGCCTGCAAGGTCCCTCTCCCTGATCTTGGTGTGGTTGACTGCTCCTTACCCAAATTTCAGTTGAAACGTCACCTCCTCAGAGGGGCCTTTCCAATCACTCATTAGTCACATTAGCTTAATACACCCTGGCACCTGTCATTTTTAATGTCTGCTCTGTCCCCATTTTGACTACCACCTCTCCCCCCCCCCAAAAAAAAAACTTTAACAGTAAAACACTGTCTGAGTAATTGTTTATTTAATTTAAAGGCGTAAGAGCCATAACAAAGAATAAGTCGTGCTCCCAAACCACCCTTCCCCTACAGGAAGATGTCAGGATGAACCTCACAAAGCTGGCAGTGGAACCAACCCTACTGTATTCTTTCTAATCTCAATTAGGGTTAGTGACTTTTTCAGTCCTTTACTCTCTGGGGACCTTACCAGGCTCTTTTACAAACATTGTTCCCACTCTACCCTCAAAGTCCTTGGTCGTTTTCCCAAAAGGTCACGCAGTCTTTGATGACTTCCCCAAGGTCAGCCAGCGAGGGGTCGAGCTGTACTCCCCCCGAGTCAGCTCACAGCCAAGCCAGTCCCTCCCACGCCCAAGCACCACCCTTGGCCCGCCCCTTGCAGGGTGTCCTCCAGGCCCCGCACCCCAAACCCCCGCCCCCCGACTCCGGGCCCCGAACTCGCCTAGAAGCCCCAGGGCCCAACCAGGGTTCCGAGCGCTCGAAGCGGTCGACGCCGCCGCGCGAGGTGAACTTCCCAGCCCCGGCGGCGCGGCCAGCAGGGCGGGCTGAGCGGGCTGAGCGGGCAGAGCGGGCTGAGCGGGCGGGGCGGGGCCCTGGGCTCCGCGCCGGGCCCGGTCTCCTGGCAACGGGTAAACAGTGCGCGGCCCGCCCCCGGCGCGCGCGGCCCCGCCATTGTGCGCGCCCCAGCCCGCCGCGGGCCCGCGGAGGCCAGAGCCGAGGACGAGCGCGAGCGCCGCGCGGGTGATGCCGGCCGCTGGGCGCCCTCTTCTCTACAGGGTCGCGAGCCCATGCCACGGTCGCCGGCCCGGCTGAGCGAGGAGCCGCCATGGTAATGCGCGGCTCGGTTAGGTGGCGAGGCGGCCGCTGGAGCCGCGGAGGGGTCCCGAGGCGCCTCTCGGCCGCTCGCTGAGAGCGGGGTCCAGCCCAGTGGCCTGAAAGGAATCGGAGATGAAGGGGAGAGGGGCTCCCCAAGTGGGGTCCACCCCCCCCCCACTTCCCGCAGACTCAGAATCAGGCTGAGTCTCTTGTGTGTGAGAGGGTTGGTTTTAGTGCCTTAGTTCTCTTGAGCCACTTTAACACCCAGAAGGTGGGGTGTGGGGGAGAAATCGAGGCCGGTACCTGGTGTGGGAACCCCAGGGCGCCGGGCCGAGCCCGCAGCAGCTGGCCCGGGCGCTTGACCGCTGCACCCCGACCTGCCTCCCGCCCGGGGCGGGAGGACTCTGGGCGAATTAAGAAAGTTGGACAGGAGCCCCCGTGCGGCCCCCACAGCAGACTCCAGGGAGCGATTTCTCTCCCCCAGCCCCATATTGACGAAAGGCAAAGGAAGGAGATCTTTGTGCAGGACATTTTTGCATTTTATATCCTAGAAAGCCTGCAGCATCCTTCTCACTTCAAGTCTTTGGCTTACAGAGCTCCGCGTTAAGCCAGACGGTGCCGAAACCGCAGGCCTCGGTCCCCAGTCTCCCGCTGTATTTCTCCACCAGAGACCCTTTTAAAACTGTGTCCAGAATCCAGCTGTTTCGTTTTGTTTTAACACAGCAGTCTCTGCGCTTTCCAATGGCACATCCGGTCACCTGGCCGGAGCTCACAAGCATTCTGGTTCCTGGGCGCTCACCCGGTCACTCAGGACTGGCCTCCCACCCTCATGGCCGCTGTGTGGTCAGGCCCTCCTTGCCACCTGCCTGAAGTCGGCCTGTCGCCCCCCTTCACTGTCCAGGGGCTCTTCACCCCCGCCCCATCCCTGATAGTCCCAGAACAGCTGTGATCTGGTATTCACCACCTGAGCTCCTCAGAGACTTTCAGTCGGCTAGAGTAATTATGCTGTGGTTGAGCTGGCGCTCAGAGCTCTTGGTGAAGAGGACTCAACCCCTTGAGCTTTATCTAAGGCATTATCTTCTCTGCTTTAACAGAATAACCCAAAAAAATCACATCTCACACTAGACCCACGTTTTGCTGGAAGCCTTTGTACCTGTCCCATCTCAAACTTTTCTTCAAGGCTGAGCGGGATGAGCCTCCTGTTTCCCTACTGTCCCTTGGTGCAGCGACTGGGTGCTCTGCCTTACTCATCACTTCCAGCCTCCATTAGGTTGCGAGATAGAACTTTGGTCGATCTCTATGTTCCTTCCAGTTCGTTGCTTATAAAAGCCCTAGTTTCTCTTGATTTAAAGTGAGAGTCATTCCCGAGTCACTCCTTTTGGTTGATATTCCCTTTGTTGATAGCTGCACTTTGCCTACCTTTCCTCAACCAACCGCAACTGCCTCCCCTTGCTTGCCTCTGAGCAACCACATGGCCACATTGACCTTTTTTGGGGGGGAGCCTTTGCACAGGCGGTTGGTTCATTTGGGATTTCCCAACCCATAGCCCACAGGCCCTTCTTCAGGAAGCCTCTTCCTTCATACCCCAGACTGGGCCCCTAGGGCTCCCCTGCCCGTCCTGTCATCATAATGCCATTGTACCCTGGGCTCTCCCTTGACAGCATAGTGAATGACTGTGTTTGATTTCTCCCTCACTGGATGGCCTCATGGGGACAGAATCCAGGTGTGCTTTGCTCTCCGTCTAATACAGGGCCTGCTACACAGCAGGTATTTTTTTAAATATTTGTTGAATGAAGGAAAGAGGCATCTAAACATTCAGAAAAGCAGAAATCAACATTTGGTTTCTTTACAGCACCTGAATTGCAACTTGCTCACTCAGCAAATATTTATTCATCCCTGCAATGTGCCAAACGTTGGTATAGGCCCCAGGAATCCAGTGGTGAACTCACAGACTACGCCTCTCATTAGGAAAATGTACAATAATACATTTTAAAAATACTATTAAATAGCTAAGAGTGGGCCTCCACGGTGGCGCAGCGGTTGAGCGCTGGATTGCGAAGCTGCACGCGGCCTCTGCGGCGCTGGTTCGATCCCCGGCTGCTCCCCGGCCACCGGAGGAGGGTCCCACATGGCGCGCAGACCTCTCCTGCCGCCTGCTGCTCCCCTCAGCAGTGTACTTCGGTCTGCCTGCTCTGCTCCCCGCTCTGGCTCTGGTGAATTCTCTCACCCTCCAGCGCTTCTGACTGTACCCAGTGCGTGTATAAACAAAACAAACAAACAAATAAATAAATAAAACATGCCTCTATAAAAAAAAAAAACCTATTTAAATAGCTAAGAGTGTATATAAAGCTTCTATCAAATATATGACTTGCAATTATTTCCTACCAATCTGTGACTTGACTTTTCATTCTCTTAACAATATTTTTTGAAAAGCACATTTTTTTTCATTTTAATGGTGAATTTACCAACTTGTTCTTTCATTTCACGAGTTATACTTTCAGTGTCATATTCAGGAAACTTTACCTAATACAAAGTCACAAAGGTTTTCTCTCCTACATTTTCTTCTAGAAGTTTTACAGTATTTGGCTTTATATTTGGGTCTATTTTGAGTTGGTTTTTATACATGCTTCAAGTATGAATTGAGGATCATTTTTATACCTATGGTATTGATTGTTCCAGCACCATTTATTGAAAAGGTTCTCCTTGTTCCATTGAAATGCCTTGGTGCTTTCATTGACGATCACTTGTTCCTATATGTGTGGGTCTATTTCTGAACTCCTTAATCTGTTGCATTGATCCACGTGTCTGTCTTGACACCAATACCACACCAGCTGGTTTCCGTAGCTTTATAATAATTTTGAAATAAGATAGTGTTAGCCCTTTGTTATTTTTCAAAGCTCTTTGCATTTCCATGTGAACCTTACAATCTTCTAAAAAGATGAGAACTTTAAATAAAAATGTCAGACTTCTATCTTATATCCTTTGACTTTTCATATAAATGTTAGAAACGGTTTACCAATTTCTACAGATTTCAAAATTTTCAATAAAAACATCAAAGTTGCACCTCTGTGGGGCTTCAGTTTGTTTCTTTTCTCTTGGATTTCCTCATAGAAGCCAGGCTGCTGGGTTGTGAATTACTTTTCACCATAGTTCCTGGCTTTTGAATCTAGAAATGTACTCCATTTTACTAAACAAAAATGTACTTTAGGTTTTTTTTAAAAAACACATTAACTATTTTTCTGTTTGTTTAGCTTATGGCATTTTTTAAAGTGCAGTTTTTCACTTCACAGTGCATCTATTTTATATAATATTTAGCCCTTGCAGACATCCTTGAAAATTTACACACTTTCTTCTCCTTTCCTTAGATGAGACACTTTCTAAATGGTCCCCCTCTGTCTGTTTTCTGGATGGTTGGGTCCTAGGACAGAAGTCAGCTCAGCTTTGTGCGGCTCTAGCAAACTTTAGAGATAATTTCTTCCCAGGTGCTGAGCCGGCTCGATGCAGGTTTGCCTGTGGCCTTGCCAAGCCTCTGCTTTTCCACTTTTTGAAATTTGGCTCTGAGGATGAGCACTGATGGGGGGTGGCAACCGTCATATCTTGAAAGTTTCATGTCAGACACTATGCTCAGTGCTTGTATTCACAGCTCTCAATCCTCATGCTGCTTAATTAAGTTGGTGACTATAACATAACAAGTGCCAAAGTGTATTTGTGTCCCAGGTATCTAATAGTATTCAATTTAATTTTTATTATAAAAATTTCCTAAGGTACATAGAAATACAAACAGCAAAATGAATCTGTCATGTAGTGGATTAATATATGGAAACAGTCCATTTAATAAGTGAATCCATTCGTATGTCCACTTCTCAGCTTCAGAAATCATGAGGATTTTGCTTCATCTTCCTTTTTTTGGGGGGTGACAGGGAGAAGAGGAAGCTACAGTATTTTAAAACAAATCTCAGCAGCATTATCTATAATAGCTAGGACATGGAAGCAGCCTAAATGTCCATCAACAGGTGACTGGATCAAGGTCTCATGTTATAACCTCACTGTGGATCAGCCATATAGAAAGATAAAATGCAGCATTTTCAACAAAATGGAGGGAGTTTGAGAGACCTGTGTGTAGCGAAGCAAGTCAGAACGATAAAAACAAATATGAGACATTTACATAGTAGATGATTTGATAACGAAAATTACCTCAAAAACTAGTGGACATCGACAAACACTTAGGGCTCTGAGGTTAAGAAGGAGGAAGGAAGGACAGAGACAAGGGGGTATTTAAGGGATAGTGTTTGGGGGAGAAATAGAAAAGAAAAACAAAATCTCAGACCTTTGATTTCATTCCTGTGAAATGTGTGAACATTTTCTTCCATGACCTGATAGTATCGTCAAACCTAGCAGAATGAATAATTTTTGATATTACCAAATTTCCCTGATTGCCTTAAAAAGTCTCTATAACTTATGTATTCAAATCACAATGCAAAAAAAGGTCCACACATTGTACTAGCTGGGTCTGTTTTCATCCGGGGTATTTCGTGGACAGTCCCCCCCAAGAGGTCTCATGTGGGCCCTCCCACTCCATGCCAAAGTTTTTATGGTTACTGCTGTTTGGCTTTTTTTTTCCCTTCTAGGAATTTTTTTTTCTAAGTGCAATAGGAAATGTTGAAATTTATGTCAAGGTTATTATAAACTAACTTCTGCCACATATGTGTACATATATACTTGTCTTTGAAAGCCAGGTAAAGGGAAAAAAGGAAAAGGCCTGGTCAAGTCTCGGGGGAAGAAGCCGAAGAAACCAGAAGTGGACATCCTCAGCCCAGCTGCGATGCTGAACCTCTACTACATCGCACACAACGTCGCTGACTGCCTGCACCTGCGTGGATTCCGCTGGCCAGGTGCCCCCAAGGGGAAAAAAGGAAAAAGTAAGATTTAAGTGATAGCATTTCCCAGTATGTCTCTTACAGAGAACACAACTTGGAGAAGAGGATGCAGGATAATAAAACTATTGCAAGCAAAATAGACTTTACTGAAGACAGCTTGAGATACAAGCCACGTGTGCTTTTCTGTCATGGTTAATGATAAGGACACGCATGGACTCCCCCCGCTACACCAAATGTGGTTAGCCGCTCTGGTTTTTAGATGTTAAAGGGGGGGAAATGTCTGAGCCATCCCTGCAATGTGTGGTGCAATTGGCAGCACATTAAAAAATAATATAATTCTGGGTCAGAATTCAACCTTCCTCTCAAAGGAAGTTCTAGTTTGCATGAATTGCTTGGTGCTAAACACCCAAGGGATGTTTAGTATTTAGAGAAGACATGCAAAGAACATGGAATTGGCTTGGGGACATCCCTCTGTTGGACACTGTTTCTTTCCCTCACTTTTCCAGGAAAAATAATAAATCTCTTGTTTCTAGAAATTTCTTCTCAACAGTCTTTTTGTGTGATTTAGCTCCAGTGGAGACTTAGGATAGTCACCACCTCTCTGACCTTGCTAGGCATATAAACAGGAGATTCAGAGGTGCTAACAGCACTCAGTGGTTGGGGTGCAGGGAGAAGGGAGCAAGCCAGCACTCCTCTTCTCCCTTTTCCTCCACACTTGCATCTTCTTCCCATCTTATGTAGGCGCGCTTTGACCCTGAATTAAGGAGTTCGTGCTAGAAGCTTGCCATGGGCATCATGCTGAGAGGTCTGCGTCTCCCTTGCGTATGCCAGAGCAGGTGGCCTGAGAGAGGGGGGGGTGGAGGGACCAAGTCCTGGCCCCATCCCTCTACCCATGCCTGGAGCAGGTAAAAGTGGGTGCTGCTGCCAAGGGGGTTTTAAGACCCCTCATGTCAACTCTTCTGCAGAGAAGAGTGTGCTGGGTCTGAACAACCTCACTATCACCTTCTCTGCCACCCTCCCTGGACTGCACCCTCAGCAGGTGGCCTGAGCTCCTAGTGTGAGGAAGTGTCCCCACCCTTATGGTTTTGAGTTTAAGTCCAGTCTTCTGCAAGTGTTCAAACTGCATTGATTCTCGTTGAAACAGTCCAGCCTTCCCTCTGTTGAAGGTGTTTCCACTTTTATCTCTCCTTCCTGCCCTACAAGATCCCCAGGGACACGTTCCTCATAGTGACCATCCCTTGACCCTGCACCCTTGTGCCTCTAGCCCTGTGGAGCAGACCATTGAGACATTTAACTCACCGAAAGGAATTCAACCCTGTCTTCCCCTTCCTGTCACCTCTGCGGGCACAGATTCAGAGAATGGTCCCAGAGTCACCTCCTCACCTTCCCTGGGATGGCCCAGAACCAGTGCTCACTCTCCCTTCTGCATAGCCCCACCCTTAGGCCGGTCCAACCACACAAGATGCTGCCTTGAGTCCCCCAATCCTCCACCCAGCTCCATAGACCCCACAGAGAGCCTCCCCCTGCATTTCCCTCCCATTCATTTGCACCTTGGATCTTTTACTCTTGAGCAGAGTGGGATGTAAAATGTATTCGTGATAAATGAGGCAGAGAGGCTGTGAATGAGAGGTCAGGCTCAGGGCACCCTTAGGGCAAAAAGAGTGAAGGCAGAGAGACTTCAGCCTGGGTCTGTCAGCTCCAGTGCTTGAGACTGCTGCCCCCTCTGATGTCCCTCAGGCTGTGTCTTCTTGGGCCTCCTGATCCCTGATTTATGGGACTCAATCACCATCATACTGAGCATCATTCTGTTTGCCACAAATAGGTAACAAAGGCAGCTATAAACCTCTGGGTCCTCTCATTGGCTGTGGGGGTGGAATCACTCAGCACCCACTGCCTGGTCTCTTCTCTGTTACTCAACCTGGGCCTCTTCAAGGTCTGGTGCTAGCTGTGCTCAACTCGTGGCCTTCTGTTCTTCCATAAGGTTGCAGAGTTCCATCCATTTTGCTGGAGTCCCACCAGAGCAACAATAGCAACAGTGCAGCCAATCTCCGTGTATGTGTGTGTGTGTGTGTGTGTGCGTGTGTGCTCGTGCGCGCACACAGACTCACCACCAACAAATGGGCTGTGAATGGGCACAGATGGAAACCAATTAGGATGGACATGGACTTTGAGGAGTAACTACAATGAAAGCAAGGTAGAGGGAAAGACAATAGGGAATATATTCTGACTTACCGTGGTGAAGACGCCCTCTGCCTAGCTTTGCTTGGTTTCAGCCTCTGGTGGTCAAAATGAAGCATCCTGTTGGCTGGCCCTTCCGTTGAATGACTCACTGGCTCACCACAGTGCTCAGCCACTGGGCATTTGTTCTCCTCACTGTCCCAGATCTTTGTCTTTTGCCCAGATCCCTCCATTTTCTGGCATTACTGGGTACCCCACTGTTTCCCTGGAGGTCATAGTTGACCCAGCCCTCATGGGCTCCATGGCGGGATAAGGAACATCAAAATGTCCTAGCCTGCCCCACCGTGGGACCTGCCACCATCACCCCGGAGGTCAGTCCTGCCCAGGATGCTCTCCATTGCTGCCTTGTACAGAAGGTTTTTGGGGGCAAGAACTGCCTGTTTGAGACTGTTGCATCACTGCCACCATCCCCCATTCATATGGTGAACTAACCCCTCCCCACCGCCCAGTAGAGACCCCATGAGCACATTCACAAGGCAGCTGCCTGCAAACCAGAAAGACGGCCTCAGGGTGACATCTACCTCGCTGGCACCTTGATCTCAGACTCCCCAGCCTCCAGAACTGGGAGAAGTTCTGTTGTTTTAAAGTGTTGTCGTTTAAACCAATTTTGTTACGGCGGCCCAGAAGACCCTTAGACCCCCACCTTTAAACACCGTGTTAATATTATAACAGCATTAAATAATTAAGGAAAGAAATAACCTGAATCCTCCCATAGTAATACAGCTACTGACTTCATTTTCCGTATTTCAGAATTCATCCAAATATATTGGCTACCTCAGGTGTTAGGCACAAACATATATTAGTTTCTGTTACACATTTAACATAACATTTTTTAAAGCATTATTACAGTGTTAGGTGAAGGTGATTTTCAGATGCCAGGCTGAATATATTTATGGAATTATAAACACTTTCACTTGTGGTTTTGTCTTCTTTGTAGCTGCCGGTCAATGGCTGTGTGGCATTCTCTTCTATTATGTACTGTAATTTACCCAAAGATTCATTCATTGGGATGTTTATATTGCTTCCAATTCTTGCTATCATATATATAATGCCAAGTGCCATTTTCTGTATAGATTTGTTTTGAATTATTAGAATAAATTCCTGTGAGTGGGATTATTGGTTTAAAAAAGTAAAATCTTGGGCCTCCGCTGGTGGCGCAGCGGTTGAGCGCTGGGCTGCGAAGCTGCCCGCAGCCTCTGCAGCACCGGTTCAATCCCCGGCCACCGGCGAGGGTCCCACATGGCGTGCAGGTCTCTCCTGCCGCCCGCTGCTCCCCTCAGCAGTGTACTTCGGTCCTCCTGCCTGTTCTGCTCCCTGCTCTGGCTCTGGTGAATTCTCTCACCCTCCCGCACTTCTGTCTATACCCAGTGCTTGTATAAATAAATAAAGAAATCTTCAAAAAAAAAAAAAAAGTAAAATTTTGGGGCCTCCCTGGTGGCACAGGGGTTAAAGTCTCAGTACTATCAAGCTATCTCCAGCCACTGCAGTATGAGTTCGATTCCTGGTCAGGGAGCTAACCCACATGCACAGCAGACCTCTCCTGCCTCATCCGCTGCTCCCCTTAACAGTGTTTTTCAGTCCATCCACCTGTTCTGTTCCCCACTCTGTCTCTGGTGAATCCTCTCACCCCCCCCCCCCATCTCTGGCCTACACACCAGTTCTTCTGTGCATAAATCTTAAAAAAAAAAAAAAAAGTGAAATCTTTTCATGGGGTCTTTTGTGTTTTTATGGGGCACTTTTTTTTTTTTTTTTTTTATTTACAAGGCCACTGGCAATGATTCAATTCTCACACTTACACTTGAGCCCTGTTAGAGTCTACCTGTGAAGACGTGGCAAAGTGGTAATGCAGAAATTTAGAACTCCGGCAATGGCTAGTTAAAGCAGGGTCCCCATGCTACCATCTGCTGCTAATGTTTGCACAGATGTACAAAATCCATTCGACTGGCCTTGGAAGATGTGGGTTTACCTGGCTTGGAAGTTAAGTGCAGCAATTGTAAAGCAAGATACTTGTAATCAAACCTCAGCTCCCCTGGGCAATTATATGTGTGCCTCTGGGTCAACTTGCCTCATATGCGTGGCTGTTTTCACTTGTAAAGTTAAAAATTAAAAGTCAGAATACACCTCATCGGGTACTGTGAGGGTTAAATGAGATAATACATGTCACATGCACAGCCCGGTGCTAGCAAGTGGTAAGCCACACTACATGTTACAGCAACCGTCTTATTAAAGAATGTGTCATCCACAGCCTGCTATTGAGACTGTGGGGCTGGTTTCTTCTACCTTCAAATTTATTCCCACACACAAATCCCCTAAAATTAACTGTTTAAAATTCTCAGCTGAGGGCCTCCCTGGTGGCGCAGTGGTTGAGCGATGGGCTGCCAAGCTGTCCGCAGCCTCTGCAGCGCCAGTTCAATCCCCGGCCACCGGGCGAGGGTCCCACATGGCACACAGACCTCTCCTGCCGCACCCGCTGCTCCCCTCAGCAGTGTACTTCGTCAAGTCTGCCTGTTCTGTCCCCTGCTCTGGCTCTGGTGAATTCTCTCACCCTCCCGCGCTTCTGACTGTACCCAGTGCTTGTATAAATAAATAAATCTTTAAAAATGAAATAAAATAAAATTCTCAGCTGAAACTTAATTCTGTTCACCAGAGTGAAAAGCTTGAAGTCAAATCAATGAACAATGAGCACTATGCAGACTTCTGGAGAAGCATGGTTATGTCCTTGAACTCAGAGGACTTGCATTTTTCCAGCACTCAGCTTTGAAAGAATAAACACACAGACTTTGGGTCTTAAGTGGTGGGAACACCTGGCCAGCTGGCACTGCCTGGTCACTGGTGGCCTCTGGATGGGGTGGGGGGAAGTACAGTGAAGTTCGAGATGACAATTGCCTGTCAGGAGTGACAGACGTGTCTTCAAGGCTGAAGGTAGGAATATACATTTTCAGCTGCTCTCACTATAAAGTGACTGTTCGGGAGCGAATCCTTTTTCAAGGTGCATGCCTGTTTTTCAAAATGAAATTCAGACAATAAAGGTAAACAAGTGCTTTCTAGGTCACACATTGCAGACTTGTCACTCCAGGGCTAAGCTCCCTGTGCTGCCCTGAGGCTGTGCCTGGGGAGGTCGGTGGTTGTTTTGGGTTTTCTTTCACAAGACAAAAAGATGATGTAGGGTACATGCTTTTCAGGCTTTTCTGCCCTCCCACCATTAGGATTGCCCTGCCCGATGGGGCACCCACAGTTGTCACACTGTTGTGTTGTTTCCTTCTGTGGGCCAGGGGAGGGGTATTGAGAT